GGTTATATTTTCAAAAGTGATGAATTGATTGAGGAGCTCAAGTCCCTTTTTTCAAAAGACACTTAGGAAACCAAGAGTCAATGAACAGTTTTTGAAAATTTTACTCATGGGCACATCTTCCTCAAACTGATTGGCTTTGGATCTCTGTTCTGCTCACTCCCATAAGCAAATGCTCATTAGGGGACTGTGTGTCATACTGCCTAACAGACATCTGTCGCCTTGTCCTGGCTAACAGCTCACTTTTACTGTTTTGGTCTGTAGGATCCCATTCAGTTTCTCTGCAACTGATTTTCCCTACTGCTGCCCCAAAACATAAGAGGCACCAAATTGCTGCATGGGGATGCATAATGGATGAGCATCTGTGTAAGTGCTACCTTGCTGCCTCAAAGGATGTTCTGTCTCCATCAGGGAGAAGTCATTTACAGATGGACAACATGGCAGCCCTGGGCAGCTGGTGAGGGCTCTGTGCTATAGGCACTGAGGGGCCCAAAATTTAAATCTAATGTACTAAGCAATGTCAAAAAAAAGTCCATAAATGTACATAATATCAAGGTAGAGGAATCTGAAAGACCCGTCTAACCATATGTCAGTGTGACTATTTTAAATGGATGGAGCATATGTCATATTAAAAAAATCTGCAGTGATCCAGGGCTGGAATAATGCAGATCTCATGCTTGTCAATAAGTCACATAAATGCAGCTTCAGGGGGAAAAAAGTCACAACATTTTGTTCCAAAAATAAGGGGGAAAAAACCACAATTTCCAAGCCAGAGGCATCTGGAGTAGCATCCTAGTTCAGCTAATGGAAAGAACCTTACTACAAACAGGGACATCTGACATTCCAGCCATCAGAGGGCAGCACCACATCATGTCAATGCCACACCAATTCATCCTAGCACAACTATGCATTTTTAAAACTCCTTTCAAGTTTAGCTTTCCTCTTTGGCTGAGCATGTCTGGAAGAATGGTGGCACCTTTCATGCAGCAATGAAGCACAAACATCTAAAGCTTTGCTAGAGCAGGGGGAGAAAACATTTAAAAACTTAGATGCATTCAATACTAATCATTTTAATGTTCTTGGAGCAATGGCCTTGAATTGAAATGCTCAACATTCTCCTATCACAAGACTCAGTTAAACTACAGCTGAATGAAAGTACATCTTTATTTTAATGCCATTTCTGGAAACTACTGGGTGGAAATATTTTGGGTGCTGTAATAAGTTACTGTCGGGCAGTCTGGGCTGACAACCATTTCTACAAGTTTCGTTTTAAAATTAGAGTATCTTTAAAAGTAACAATGATCCCACCACAGCAGAGAAAAGACTGAGAGCTCAGACATGGGTATGTGAACAACCACAGGCTTTCTTCGGCCTATCAGTATTCCCTACTCTTGAGCTGTTTTTAATCACTGAGGTTGAGGAGAAATCCCTAAATCCTCCTCTGCTTTTTGTATTAGTATCATTACCCTCCAGCAGCGTCATAACTGAAGTCCAGGCCAATAACAACTAGATATGATTCTGGGCAGGAACAGATAAGACTGTTGCTGAAATGACTAATGGGGTCACTATAGACACACACCCTGTTCCCAGTAAGAGCACATTGCTAACACAGATTTTCCCTTGCTCTACTCAGTGGGAGCAAAGGGGACTTTGCTTAAAGCTATGTGATGCCAGCCAGGAAAAACATGTGCCAAAGGCATGGTAATGTGCTTAAAAATTCCTGCCTCTGTTACTATTGGCACAGCGCCAAGCTAGTAAGTGCTAAGGACACTGGCGTTCTAACCCTCATGTCATCTAACCATGCTCAAAGCAGCTCTAAACAAAATCATGGTTAAATAGCTGTCACCTGGAAGCAGCCTGACTTCACTAGTGCTCCCATCACTGCCACAGGGAATGGAACCGCACCAGTGCTAGCAATAGTGGGGCATTTTACAAATGGTAGAAAAATCCACTAGATGGTACCAACATGTTGTTAATAACAGGAGTTCTATCAAGGCTGATCTACTGGCTAGAAATGCACCACGACTCATGTGACCTAAGTTCTATTCCCAGCTCTACAGCTAGATGTTCAATCATTTTAGGCAGGCATTTACAGATGGACAACATGGCAGCCCTGGGCAGCTGGTGAGGGCTCTGTGCTATAGGCACTGAGGGGCCCAAAATTTAAATCTAATGTACTAAGCAATGTCAAAAAAAAGTCCATAAATGTACATAATATCAAGGTAGAGGAATCTGAAAGACCCGTCTAACCATATGTCAGTGTGACTATTTTAAATGGATGGAGCATATGTCATATTAAAAAAATCTGCAGTGATCCAGGGCTGGAATAATGCAGATCTCATGCTTGTCAATAAGTCACATAAATGCAGCTTCAGGGGGAAAAAAGTCACAACATTTTGTTCCAAAAATAAGGGGGAAAAAACCACAATTTCCAAGCCAGAGGCATCTGGAGTAGCATCCTAGTTCAGCTAATGGAAAGAACCTTACTACAAACAGGGACATCTGACATTCCAGCCATCAGAGGGCAGCACCACATCATGTCAATGCCACACCAATTCATCCTAGCACAACTATGCATTTTTAAAACTCCTTTCAAGTTTAGCTTTCCTCTTTGGCTGAGCATGTCTGGAAGAATGGTGGCACCTTTCATGCAGCAATGAAGCACAAACATCTAAAGCTTTGCTAGAGCAGGGGGAGAAAACATTTAAAAACTTAGATGCATTCAATACTAATCATTTTAATGTTCTTGGAGCAATGGCCTTGAATTGAAATGCTCAACATTCTCCTATCACAAGACTCAGTTAAACTACAGCTGAATGAAAGTACATCTTTATTTTAATGCCATTTCTGGAAACTACTGGGTGGAAATATTTTGGGTGCTGTAATAAGTTACTGTCGGGCAGTCTGGGCTGACAACCATTTCTACAAGTTTCGTTTTAAAATTAGAGTATCTTTAAAAGTAACAATGATCCCACCACAGCAGAGAAAAGACTGAGAGCTCAGACATGGGTATGTGAACAACCACAGGCTTTCTTCGGCCTATCAGTATTCCCTACTCTTGAGCTGTTTTTAATCACTGAGGTTGAGGAGAAATCCCTAAATCCTCCTCTGCTTTTTGTATTAGTATCATTACCCTCCAGCAGCGTCATAACTGAAGTCCAGGCCAATAACAACTAGATATGATTCTGGGCAGGAACAGATAAGACTGTTGCTGAAATGACTAATGGGGTCACTATAGACACACACCCTGTTCCCAGTAAGAGCACATTGCTAACACAGATTTTCCCTTGCTCTACTCAGTGGGAGCAAAGGGGACTTTGCTTAAAGCTATGTGATGCCAGCCAGGAAAAACATGTGCCAAAGGCATGGTAATGTGCTTAAAAATTCCTGCCTCTGTTACTATTGGCACAGCGCCAAGCTAGTAAGTGCTAAGGACACTGGCGTTCTAACCCTCATGTCATCTAACCATGCTCAAAGCAGCTCTAAACAAAATCATGGTTAAATAGCTGTCACCTGGAAGCAGCCTGACTTCACTAGTGCTCCCATCACTGCCACAGGGAATGGAACCGCACCAGTGCTAGCAATAGTGGGGCATTTTACAAATGGTAGAAAAATCCACTAGATGGTACCAACATGTTGTTAATAACAGGAGTTCTATCAAGGCTGATCTACTGGCTAGAAATGCACCACGACTCATGTGACCTAAGTTCTATTCCCAGCTCTACAGCTAGATGTTCAATCATTTTAGGCAGGTCTCTGTGCCTCAGTTTCACCATCTGTAAAATACTGACCTCCTCCATAAAGCACCTGGCAGGGGCAACTGGTGAGGGGGACACACAGGGGTGGAGTCCCCCCCAGCCCAGGGAAGGGCTGGGATCATCCCTGTGAAACCCAAGCCCCACCTCTCCCTGCCCGTGCTCTTCCCATTCCATGCCTCTTCCTTGTCCTTGCTCCACCCCGCCCCACTTTGTCCCCCAATCAATGTGGCCTGGGGGAGTGGGGAAGCACCTGTAAGCAGGGGTCCAGCCTGCTCATACTCACCAGCAGCAGTGGGAGAAGAGGAACAATGCAGGCCTATCTCATTCTGCTCCTCTGGCCGCCTCGCTCTTCTTCCTGCAGGTGAATGTGGGGGCAGTTCTGCCCCTCCCCCGAGTTATGCAGCTGGAGGAGTGGAGCAAGCTAGGGCCATGTCGATCTACTTCCCTTGCTGCTGCAGGTGAGTGCATGGGGCTAAATCCTTGCTGTGGGCACCAGCCCACCTTCCCCGCTAGTCCTCTGGGATACCCGTGCAAGAGGTGGCAAAGTCTGGTTCTATTGTCCAAGTCTACACTGGGGAAACTTATCCAAAATTTTTCTTCTGGTGTTATCAGCAGTTCAGCTGAAGGAGCGTTGGTGCTGGGGGAAGACTATTTTGACCATTGTTTTAGTTATGCCTGCTGGAATCAAGCTTATTTGGTATGGTGGCAAAAACGAGGCACACTCTGAGAGTGCCTTATCTACTCTAAGGGACACCAGCATAGGTGTTAACCACAGCCCCAACTGAACCAGCCATAACACTAGAGGGATATTTTTATCAGATTCCTCATTGCAGAGAGTTTCCCCAAGCCACTGTTTAAACAAAGTTTGCTAGAATGGTCTCAAATCTGGTTTCCTCACCACTGTAAACCAGTGCTAGTGCGTTCTTGAAAGCTAACAGATTTTGCCAGAAGAGTATTTTCAATCAAAATAATGCCACAAAATAATTTAAACATTGTGATGCTTTAAAAATGCCCATTTCCAATCAACAGACTGAAATATGCAGAACTTCAGGTGCAATTCTATTGCAACAGTTCAGCTGAAGTAGTATATAGGAAAACATGTCAATGAGAGACAGGAAATCTAAAAGGGCAATATATAATGCTTGCCACAAGATGGCTCTCATGTACCGGAGATGAGCTATGTTAATACAGCAAATTAGCAACTTCATTAAACAATAAAAAAACACGCTAACACGCAGTACTTACTTTTCAAGAAATTCTTGTAGACCCTGTCGACGATGGTCCACATGATGGGGATTATTCATATTAAAAAAGGGACTTTTAGATGGAAGTTCAGGTAATTGGCTTTAAAAAATAAAATATAGAGTTAAAACAAAAAAAAGTGAAGAAAAAAAGTTTATTCAAACGTAAGCATTCGTTAGGTTCCAACAAATCATGAGCTTAACTTAAAAATCATGAAATTTTAAAAGTAAGGAATTTGGGGTTCTTTCAATTTACTTTCTGGTTTTTCCTTGGGGGGGGGGGGTTGTCACATTTTCAAGCTTTTCCCTGAAGACATGAGAGATAGAAATTTACTAATTTTTTAAATGAAATCTGAAAATTTCACATAATCACCTAACTCCAAGGGCTGGGATTTTGAGACGAGGAGGGAAAAAATGGGTAGGTTTCCAATAAAATCAGGTGAATTGTCAACAAAAATTTAATTTTTAGGAAGATAATTACATCATCAGGCAAAAGCAAAAAAACAAAATCAAAATAACCACCTTGTAAATATAAAGCTATTCCAGTCTCTGCTGAATGGAGAGAGAGAAATTGATCTTTGTGTACACACTATCATTTTGGGAGGTACTCAGATACCCCAGTGATAAAGATATGATGAGACTCTAGGTATATAGACACCTAGATTCCATGGATTAACAACTGGTTCAGAAAAAATTACATTTCTATTATCTTTAATTGTTTATCAAAAATACTAGCTGTTCAAACTTGTATTTAACAAAATATAAGATTAGATGTTTAAAGCATTACTAGTTTTGTGAATAGTTACCAAAAGATAAAGGTGGAAACCCCATTGCTTGAGAGTGTAATTCCAGACCAGGCAGGGTATGTCTACACAGTAATAAAAACATGAGGCTTGTGTCAACTGACTTGGGCTCTCAGTTGAAAAATTGCTGTGTAAACATTCAGGCTTAGGCTGGAACCAAAGCTCCGGGACCCTGTGATGGTTCTAGCCTGAGCCTGAACATCTACACAGCAATTTTTGAGTCCCAGAGGTCAGGTCAGCTGTGGGGTTTTTAATTATCATGTATACCTGCCTGCAAAGCACTAGAAGCTATATGGTGGAGACCAACCTTACACTAGTAGGGTTGGAGGTATATGGAGTAAAGACTTTCCCAACTCTAATTTATATGATTGTGTAGTAACAGCTCACAACAGACAAAAATCCTACCCTTGTGTGTGTGTCATTTGCAGAGTATTAAACTTTCATGTGATGGAAGTTTAATAGAAGTGTTACTCACATTAGCACAGCATTCTTCTGAAGTTTCTGCCGAAGCCATACAAATTCTCGAAAGCGTCGTCTAACACAAGTTGTTTTCCTTGTAAAGCACATGCTATTTGTCTGTTGGGAAATGAGAATCGCTTTACTTGTAAATCCTTAAGTCTTAAGAAAGCAGCATAGATATTTGATACCCCCAAAAAATGTACTGAGAGTTCTGTTTCTGAAAACTAAAGGACTGATTCCTATTTAGTTCAATACAAGATCTGTATAAACAGTGTTATTTTGAACCAGATCAGGACCAGTTTCTAACTTCTCTGGGCTCCAGGAACTTATTTTTCTTCATTTTGTTTTGAAAGCAAAGAATGACTATGATGAAGACATCAATTATAGCAGATCAAAAAGTTGGTCAAAATTATTTCCAACGGAAAACTCCAATATTTGCACACAAAAAAATCTGGTTTTTTTAAATAGCTCTGGTCATGATCCTGAAGCACTCACTCCTGAACATATACTTCCTTCAGTGCACAGTCCCAGTTAAATCACTAGGACCAGCATGAATACTTGCTACATAGGGAAAAAGCAGATATAAGGACCTCGCCCTTAGTTACCAGTTATTTGCCTGTTTGCCCTTACAGAGGGATGATTTCCACCTACACACAAGTAATAAGTGCTGACAGGCTCATGGTTTATTTAGCAGTCACATGACTTTATGCTCTCAAACTCACATCGATAGCTGACTAAACATGTGAGATTTTTTTTTAAATTTATATTTTCCCCCCCAAAAAAAAAGAATAGGAAAAAGAGAGGGAACAAAACAGGGAAGCAGATGAGAGCATTATCTCAGTTTCCGTCTGCTATGAATTAATAAAAAAACTCCTAAAACATCTGACCCCATCTGTCTGAGGTCCCTCTTCTTAAAAATGTTACCTGCTTTTTAGCTGCCAAATTAGCCAAGTTGTTGAGCCAAGTTTCTAACCCTGGAGGCAGCCTGCTCTGCCACCTAAACAATGAGAGTTCTTTAGCTACCAGCACTGCTGTAGAGAAGCAAGTTTTCCACGAAATTGAGAGTTTCCAAGCTGATGGGATATATCCCCACAACACAGTCCTGGGAAGTCATTTTTAAAGAGATATCCATTATCACATCATTCTTCTGCCTACTTCTAGTCAAAAGGATTGTATCCTGCGAGTCGGGAGACCCACATCTGCACATTGGGAAACCCACATCAACAGCAGTTTCTTTTGGTAAGGCTCATGCCATGTAATCTGTGCAGGGACCAGTATAAACTAACGATTTTCTGTTGGATTAACCTGAATGGTATGCACATGATAACATTTTTAATGCTTTGCATGGCATTTCTCCATTGGCTAAGATTCAAGAATATTTACAAATCTCTTCATTGCTTGTCACAAGCAATCTAAAATTAAGGTTTTTGGCGCCAAAAAATTGTAACAAGCTATAACTAGTTAGGTGAACTATGAAGCACTCACAATATCTACAATAATTCTGGAATCTTTGGTGCTTCCAGCATAACAGGACCAAATATGTCCTTCAAGAGATGCTTGTACTGCAGGTAATGGAATGCAGATGGACAAGATAAGGTTGGAGTGCTTGGAATGGCAGAACTGAACCTCTGAGATCAACTGAGACACCCAAATTGTCCTCTTATGCATCCACTCTGTCCACATTACCAACTTCTTGTCAACTTTGCAACAATGGCCGCCCCAAAGTTCAACCTCCGTGTGAGACAAATTTTTTCTACCAGAGTGATCCATGTCTCTCTGGTAGTCAATATTGCAGGGGGTGCTTTAAAGTCCAAACAGTAATAGGTTGAGTCCAGTCATCTTGCCAACATGAGAGGATGGAAGATATTTTTCATACTGCGAGTAACAATCTCAGGATCTAGACTGAGGAAATTATTATGATCCCTTCTACATTTCACCCAAAAATATGCTAATGGAAGACTAATCAGCAATACTGAATTGAATGAAATGTATGGCAGACTTAAGAAATGTTACAATCACAATTTCATATGTATCCTTCTTAGAATGCAGTACTCTAATATTATAAGCATTGAAAAAACACTTTAAGTACCCAGATACACAGATTAGGCACAATGTAAATGTCTAGCTAGATACATTGAAATGTACACAATTATGACAATTATAGCTTGGTAGATAAAACAACTTTGGGAATTTTGCTTATGAAGCAAGTAATTGGATTATTCATTGAAAACAGAATTGCACAAACACAAAAGCTTTAAATCCAATGATTTTTGTTTCTATGAACAGACTAGTGACCATGCATAGTCTGCCATAGCAGTCTTTTGTTAAGAAATAGAAACATGAACAGTGTCCATCAGAGGACAGAGCATCCTAACTCAAACACATATGTGGGAAACTGTATATCATGATTGAACTCCCAATTCTGTTACAAGACTATTGGCAAGTCACTTGATCCATTACTTTGTTTCCACATCTGTAAAAGAAGCATAATATCTGCTAGTACTGTAAGGCTAAACTTATTACAATATCTGAAGTGATCACAGCCTTGAATAGAACATAAGTGCTACATAAGTGCAAAGTATTTTTACCGTGTTGCCTTTATACTTACATGAATGAATATCTCATAGTCCACATATGAATGCCAAGAATCTTCCTTCTGGATCCTAGGGTCCCGTACGAGGACAGTTACAAATTCCTGCAAATGCATAATAAATCAATTAATTTTAGAAGAACTCTGATTGCTTTGCTTTGATTGCTTTGTTTTTTCACTAATGACGGTGTTCAGCTGAACCACTGTTTTATTGAATGTTGCAATCCCTTAAAAGGGGAAGCAAAAAGCAATGAATCATCTGAACTACAGTACATGTCCGGGAAACTCCTTGCCACACAGCTAGACCAAAAGGGACATTTTCAAATTAAATAATATTGTAGATTTTTCAACACACTATATTCATGGGGACTCAGTGATCTGAGTGACAACAAACTGATTAGCTAACTTGTAAATTACAGATTAAAAATACTTGTGCAGCTATTTTTTTCAAACAACTCCCATTCCATTACATAAGAGGCTCTACAAATAGCCCATGGTATAGAACACATGATTATTATATTTTATTAGAAAAAAAGTCTACATTTCTTCATCACTCTATAATTTTTCTTTTAAAAAAATCAATATTTTCACAATCAAGATCTCAGAAATTAAGATCTATAAATGCTTAACACCCGCTCAAAGAGGCCGGGATTGTCTCTTTCGTATGAGCTAGAGATCATATCTTTGCGATCCACACCAGAGTAAGGAGCAACACATCACTGGCTGCTCCAGAGCAGCACAAGGTAGCAATGTCATCGTGTAGATGACTACATGATTAACCGATAAGCCTAGGCTTATCGATTAATGTTGCCTGCTCACGCTTCCTCTGCTCTTGCTGCCTCACAGAGGCAGCGTGGGAGAGCGGGAATGGTACTTGTGAGGAGCTGAATTAAAAGCCAGCTCCCCACATGCACCAGATCCACATCCCCCTCTCCCCCAACCCCATGCTGCTGCCTCTGATAGAGAGGCAGCAGCGCGGGAAGGGGGTGGGGTAGGCTGAAGCCAATACATGCGGAGAGCCGGGAGGGACACGGGAGACTGCCGCAAAGCAGCCTCTGTCCATGGCGGGCCCTAGCTCCCCATAGACAAAGGCTGCTCCACATCCCACAGAGCAGCATCTGTCCACAACAAGCCTGGATCTGCCCTGGACAGAGGCTTTTCCACAGCAGTAGCAGCCCCTGTTTCGCTGGGGGTCCAAGCTCCATGCAGACAGAGGCTACTCCACAGCAACAGTCTCTGTTTGCGGGGAGCTCAGACTCCCCCACTGCTGCCACCCATCTCAGAGGGAGCAACACAGGGCAGCAGGTAGCAGGTCTGCGTCAGAAGCTGGCTTTTGAACTGGCTCCCCTGATGGACCGGCTCCCACCTGCCACCCTGCACTGCTGCCTCTGATACAAGCAGCATTCTCTGTCCATGGAGCAGCCTTTGTTTGCAGGGAACTTGGGCCCTCAGTGGACAAGGACTGCTGCTGTCACAGAAAAGCCTCAGTCTGTGGCAGGTCTAGGCTCACTGTGGACAGAGGCTGCTTTGCAGCAGTCTCCCTTCTATCCCCCACCCTGTGCGTATTGGCTCCAGCCTCCTGGGGCTATCGAATAGTCAAGTAACCACTAAGATTTCATGTGGTTACACAACTGTTCAGTTACATGATATCTAACATCCCTAGCACAAGGACAGATTATGCTTTGTAAAGTCAGTTTCTCTCACAGGTGCTCTGTGGAGGGATGTCTACAGCCACCTGTCACAGCACATGCTCCCTGATGCACCACAAATTCTAATACCAGTGCAAATGGGATGCATCATACCACTATACTGCCTTGGTAGCATTTTACATGGGTGTCCATGGCACAATGCAGAGAATCAGAGACCTTAAACTTACGGCTATATTATCAGCTGTGTAAACTGGCACAGCTCCACCGAAGTCAACAAACCTGTGATGATATAGTCTCTTTCCCCCTTGCCTATCCGCCTGAACGTCTAATGGCTCTTTAGAGCCCATTTCTCCCTGCACACAGAAAGTGGCAGTACAGTGCATTGTCCTCAGGGAATAAGGGACACATGCCCCCCTCAACTTCCTTGGCTGGTTTGTGGAATGGACTATGATGTAATCCAATGTACAGAGAGTGCCCAGCAGAATGGAATCTCAGTTAGGACAGGGGTCTTTGGACAATACTACACTATAAATAAGTACTGTTAATAATGATAGAAATGTAGCCGTGTTAGTCTGGGGTAGTTGAAGCAAAGTGCAGGACAATGTAGCACTTTAAAGACTAACAAGATGGTTTATTAGATGATGAGCTTTCGTGGGCCAGACCCACTTCCTCAGATCAAATAGTGGAAGAAAGTAGTCACAACCATATATACCAAAGGATACAATTAAAAAAAATGAACAAATATGAAAAGGACAACCCATTACCAAGATAGCTTCCCCAATTATCACCTCTAATACTATTAACTCACAAACATCCCACTCTCCCTACCTTTAATATCAGCAATTCACAGACACTTACCTTCCTTCCTTCCCCCGCATCCCCTTCCTGTTCTGAAATATGATTTGTCCTTTTCACATGTGTTCATTCTTTTAAATTGTATCCTTTGGTTTATATGGTTGTGACTATTTTCTTCCACTATTTGATCTGAGGAAGTGGGTCTGGCCCACGAAAGCTCATCATCTAATAAACCATCTTGTTAGTCTTTAAAGTGCTACATTGTCCTGCATTTTGCTTCTACTGTTAATAATAGCTGTGGGAGACTGAAGAAATGCCAACACTCTCACTTAACATTTCTGGTAGATCCTACATCACATCAGGGAAACTGGTATAGCAAACCCTAAAATCATATGTGAATATTAAAGTAGTTCCTTTAAAATACAAATATTTAGCAGCGTGTTTATGGAAGTTTTTGCAATGCTTTCATCTAGTCTAGCAATAGGCAACCACAATTAGGAAGTGGGTCAGGTGAGTGGCCCTCTATCTCAGTGGGCTGCATGAGGTCTGTGAAGCCCCTCCCCAATACTCATCTTGTGCACTGCAGCACTGGAGCCCAACACTTGCGTCTCCCCCACCCTACAGCACTTTCAGAGCACCATAAATCTGCTGATTTGTGCTCTGTCCTCACTCCTTCCTCTCCCTCCCTCCCAGAGCTGGAGTGCCAAGAACAGCTGATTTGCCACATTCTAAGCCTGGGAAGGAGGGGGAGGGGCAGGGACAGAACATGAATCAGCTGATTTGTGTGTCTGAAAATGCTGGGAGGGAGAGGGAGCAAGTGTTGGGCTCCAGTACCCCACTGTGCAAGAGGTGTGTGCGGGAGGGCAGCAGTTGGGGGCTGCAGGCCACAGGAAGAACTCCAGTGGGCTGGAGGTTGCCCCCACTGCCTTAGTCTCTAGTGTAAGTGGTTATACTGGTATAAAAGTGCATATAATAGTGTTTGCACCAACACAAGGTATGCTGATATAAACACCTCTGTAAATACCACTTTGATTTCATCCATACTAAGGGATTGCACTGATTCTTCCTATCAATTTAGTAAAAATCAGAAGAAAAAAAACAAAGCTAGAGAAGCCTTCAAGACAGAGAATGGATACTTGAGTCCATTGGAAATGCTTTAGAAATGCTCTAAATCACATATATAAATAAAGAAAAAAAATCCCTTTAAGCTGTACTTTTGAGGAGTGGGAGAAAAAACAGGAAGCAGATAATTGCATCAACTCTGCAGGTAAGTGAAACAATTCTGGGAAGAGGAACAGAGTTACTGACAATCATGAACTTATCTTAGAAGTAAGTGGTGTTAAAAATGCAATGGTCTATTTAGAAAAAATACATATTTTGCATAGAGAAGGCTAGACTATCAGTTGATGTGATTTTTACAGGTTGAACCTCTCTCGTTCGTCTAGCACCCTTGGGACCTGACTAGTGCCGAACCAGAGAATTTGACAAATTATGGGAGGTCAATTTTGTATAGCAGCAATACCAACACTTCCACTGCTTACTAGGTCTCTTAAACATGTAAGGGAAAAATTAGAGCTAAATTACAGCACAGAACACTGAGGAATGGTGGCTGTAAACAAACTTTATAGGACCACAGGAAACTTGGCCACACCCATTATAAGTGGGCATCCAGCTAACTAAAATCATGCCAGACCATCGATGTTGCCGGACCAGAGAGGTTCAATCTGTAGTTCAATAGAGAGCCACACTGAGTGACATTTGCTGAAGGTCTGGCCTAGAATTCTGAACTTATAAAAATTTACACTTTTCAGAAACCAAAAGTACTGACACACAGAGTTCTGAAAAATATTTCTATCCCCAATCCGCAGATACCAGAAAAGACTTCTTTATTCTTCAGCTGAATTCCTTTCTGCCCCCAAACCATGCACATCTATATACCCCCAGCGCCAAACTGCTAACTAGTTAAACAAGTGGATGCTATGAGAGGAAAAGAGGTCTACAGACTGACATGGCAGTTGTGCATCATGTGCGGCAGAGGCACATTTGTGGTCTGGATTAAATAATTCACCACGTGGAAAAATTGTTTCATGGTAATTCCATTCCCTCTTTCAGCACCAGACAAACATTCAGCACCTGATTCTCCATTGCCCAGCATCTTGTGCAGCTTTTAACAGCAGCACAAACTGTCTGTAACACACGATTATTCTGATTTGGCAGCATTCTACACAGGTGTCAGTGACACAATGCAGAGCATCAGAGACCATAACCTAATGGCCAGATTCTCAGCAGTGTAAACTGGCACAGCTTCACTGAAGTCAACAGACCTATGATAATGATATTAGCCAGTTCAGGATCTGGCTCTTAGGTTTGAAGACATATCACCTCTGGGGTAACCACAGTTTTAAACTGGAAAAACATCACACAGCTGGAAGATGCACTAGGAGAATTGGGGGTGGAGGTTGGAGCAGTGTTCTCTCTCCAGAACAGAAGAACTCAATATATAAAGACCAGACAGGAGAAAAGTTCACAACTCAGCCCCAGTGTCTACACTGCATTTTCAATCTCCAGTCAAATCGTATTTTACTGTCTGTGTGTCTTCCTCCCCATGCCTACATTTTGCTCTTCTCCTGATAGATTTTCTGTTTCTTAATCTTGTTTTGT